AAAGTAAAATAAAAATCCCAGGTATATTTTAAAATGGTAGTTCCTAAGACTTACACACACACACACACACACACACACACACAAAGGGAAAAATATCTAAAATAGCTTTCTAAACATCTTTCTATTATTCTTCCATATATAAATGAATTTAATTGGCTGATGCAAACTATTGTCAGTCATGTGTAGGGCAACAAAATGATAAAAACAATTTAGAACTACTGAAAATAAGAAACTAAAAAAGAAAAAAGAAAAAAACTAAAACAATCCCACCCTAAACATTTTCTCAATATCTATTTAAGGATATTACAAAATAGATTTCATTACACTATGTTCAAGTTAAAAGTAACCATCCATCTTGTCAGTATATCAAGTACAGGTGCCAGATATCAAGTATAACTTCCTCTGCACTGCCTTCAAGACCCTCTAAGCCTGACCACCCAGACTATCTTATAGTGTAATCTTACTATCTCTTATGTACCGTAGGTCACATTTTTTGAAATGGAGAGGCCCTTAAAGATATTCTAACCTAAGACTCTTGCTCTACAAACAAAGAAGCTGAGCCCCAGTCTGGTGAAGGACTTGTCCTTGGTCAGAGAACTGATTATCACCAGAGCCAAAGACTAAAATCCAAATATTCTGACCCCCCAGCCCAACACTCATTTTACAAAACTGCCAAGAGCAACATCTGCTCAAGTCATTACAATCTCATCCTACATAACATATGTCGTTTTTGCTTTCAACCCCATACCTCTGCTCTTGCTGCTCCTTGGCCCAGATGATCCCTGCTATACCCTTCAACTTTCTCACCTCTCAAGTTTAGTTGCCGAGAGAGAGCACCTGGCTGTTACAATGCAAATAAGTCATATTCTCTCATATAACAATTTGCCATATTAGATTTAAGAGACATTTATAACAACCAAATTAACTATGCATAAATATTTTACTTATTAAATAAATAAAAGCATCTTACTTACCTTTTATCCTTCAGGTCAGACACAAGCCCCCAATGATCCCACCTTTTTCTGAAGGTTGAATGTGCCTTAGAGCACTAATGTGCTTCAAGTACTTAGATAACTTACTCTAGATAAGTTACTCCTCTTTCATTCAGCAATACTAAGACCCTTTAGACAATATGTACGTCTTGTACCTCCATTTCTCAAAATTCATAATTCACTAATTAGATATAGATTCATAGATTTTAAGGAATTCAGAGGGAGAGGAAGAATGGTTGCTAAAATTTTTTCAATATCAGATATTTATATACACAGAGACCAAATACTCTATACTTGTAGAGTCAAATAATTTTTTTTTAATTTGGGAAAGTTGCATTTTGAGAAATTTGAAATTTTATAGCCTACATATTCTTTTTATGCTCAGAACACCCATCTACACAGCAAATATCCATGGAATCACCTTGGGGGGCAAAAAAACCAGAAAGCTTAGTTTCCTCCTTATAACATCCCAGTCAATTCTAAAGGTGGTGGGTGGAAAAGGTGAGCAAATGGCACCAAAAATGACACTTGTGCTTGTGTTGGATGCTGTGAAAAAGCATATGTTAAGAAATCTAACAAGAGCAGGGAAACATCTGACTTCAAGATTGTGCCAGTGCTATGAAGACCTGCACAGTAAATGGAAGTTCATCCACTCAGTAGATTTTAGAAAACAAAGATGTCATAAGTTTTAAGGTAAAGAGACACTTTCACAGATGCTGTCACAGAAAGTATAAATTGGGATGATTTCTTTAAAGGATGATATAAAAGGCTTATCAAAATTTTAAATGCACATATTCTTTAGCACAATTCTACTGGTAAGATTTTATCTATGAACCAACTACAAAAATATGCCAAGATATATGAAAGAGCACTGTTTGTAACATTGTGTGTAACAACAACCATAAAAATCATGTAAACGTTTACGGTAGGACATTCTTTAAATAAATTATGATACATTCATAGAATGAAAGATGTGCACCACTGAAAATAATGACAAGAACTGAAACTCCAAGATATACATCCTTGAGTGCATAAAAGCAAGACGCAGAACAAGAAATAGAGTGTGAACTCACCTGGATACGCGTATACATATATGAATATGTGCATAAAGGGTTCGGAGGTTTTTTTAGCTTTCTTTTTTGTTTTTGATTCCCATGTAAGTATACAAGAAAATATAGACAGTAGTTACACCTTGAGGAAAAGACTGGAAGTTTAGTATGCGTGTTAGTAGAGACAAATAATTTACATTTTTATTTTAACATCTGTCTGCACTATTTGATTTTTTAACTATGTGCCTATACTTTGAAAGATATAATAAAGATTTTTGAAATTTTATGAAGAAATAGAAAATATTAGTCTAGGAAGACATCATTGATGCACATTAAGATCAGCATGTGAAAATCATTTAATATCCAAGATATTAAATTACTGTCTCAAAAGCAGATGTTTAGAATGCATCCAACTGTTCATTAGTTTGATGTTTTATTTAATCTGCCATACTATTTTGCTTGGTTGACTGAAAATGTCACTTATAAAATCACAAGGGTAACACAGAAAGTAAAGGATGTTACTGACATTTCAATCAAAATTCAAATATGATTATTGTGATAGACCTCAAACAGGACTGAACCCCTTTCTCTCCCATGCAGCCACAGAAGTGAACCTGTTTATTGGATTAACTATTAAATTTACTTAATGAAAATGGACACCGCAACTGGCAATCGCCTCAAACTGACAGTGCAATGAAGAATTCATCCTAAATGTACATCTTTTCAATTATCTCATGTGGACATCCTCTAAATCATATGTTCCAAACACCTCAAAACTCAAATTAGTAATATGGTCTTTAAAATGTCATTTTCTTACTAATGATCAAAGAAGCCCATTTGCGTGCAGATGTCATTAACACCAAGAATATCATTCAATAGATAGTTTTAGGAATCCAGCTATGCAAAGCACCACGCTGAAACAGCACCTGTATAAGCGTTGAACAGTTCTGGAGTTCAACAAGAGAAAATCCCAAGTGGGATGGAAATAATTATAAAAGCATCAGCATTGAATCAGAAACCAAGTTGAGCTGTAAGAGACAACTGGGATTTGTGCCAATACAAAAGAGACAGAAGGTTAAATATTCATGTTGTAAGGCAAAATAACTGAAGTGCTGAGAAGGGGTGGTAATAATTTAAAGAGAAATGATACTAACAAAAAGAAGAAAATACTTTGGAAAGAAGAGGCAGTCTCAAATATTTAAAAAAATTAATAAATATACAGCAGCCATTATCACTTAAAACTACAGCACTATTAGTAGGTAAGATGTGTCTAGCTATTTCCCTAGGACACTGTTGCTCAAATATGAGCAGGTATCAGAATGACCTGGAGGGCTTGGTAAACTGTAACTTGCTGAGCCCCACCCCCACAATATCTGACTCACTCAGTCTGGAGTGAGACCCAAAGATTTGCATTTCTAACATACCCCCAGGTGATGCTGATGCTGCTGGTCTGAAGAACACAGCTGGAGAATCACTATCTAAAAATAACTTGGAACACATCAAATATTCTTGTCTCTTCAGAGGGTATGACACAGCAAACCAAAAGTACTGAAAAGGGTGACATCCTCACAAATCTGAGACAGGCACAGGCCTTCCCAAGTGTGGTCCAAGCAACTTCTCAGATAGTAAGTAAGCTCTCCAGGATACATTTAGAGCACTAAACTCTCATGGAACTAGTCTATGAGATCAAATCAATGTGGACCTGAAGGGGAAATGAACCTCAGCCCCACATTAGCCACCCTACCTCCCAGTGAGGCTGATCCTAGGGGCAAAAATACAGCTCCATCGCTTGACACAGACCTATATTAACATCTTAAAACCAAACATAGATCACATCATCACTTGACATGTCTCATTTAATGTGTGGAGTTCAACAAACCACATCTAACCTGGCAATGAACCAAAGAATTTATAACACTGTGTCACTTCACCAACTGTAATGTAAGAATGCATAATCAAAATCCACATGAAGTCCCCCACACCCACACCCAAATAAATGACAGCCCATGACACAATGAGAAGGCTCTAATGGTCCACTAATCCCAACATAGTCACCACAGAGTTCTCTTGCTCACTTCTGCCCACCTTGAAATATATAGGAACACAAAAAGCTGTCATAAGGAAACAGCAGAGCCAACTAAAGACGTGATGCACACTATACCCTCTAGCTGTAGAGATGCCCCTGTGAGGTGTTTTTTGATACGATTATCATTTAAACTCTAGACTGAATAAAGCAGGTTACCCTCCACAATGTGGATAGGCGTCATCCAATGAATTAAAGGCCATAAGAGAAAAAAGGACTGATTTCACCTGAGGAAGAGGGAATGCTGCCTCCAGACTGCCTCTGGAATCAAGACTGCAACATCAACTCTTTTCTGGGTTTCTACCCTGCCTACCTGCCCGGTAGATGTCAGACTGGCCAGCCTGCACAATTTCATGAGTCAATTCTTGGAAATAAATATCAATCTCTCTCTCCATACACACACACACACACACACACACACACACACACACAGATATCAATCTCTCTCTCCATTCTCTCTCTCTCTCTCTCTCTCTCTCTCTCTCTCTCTCTCTCTCTCTCTCATCATTATCAAGTAGGGACAGAAACTGTAAATAGCAAATGTGACAGGACTGCCAACTACTCCTACTAGTTCTGTTTCTCTGGAGAACCCTGATAAACACAACCTTCTGTAGTTCACAATCTCTTTCCCTTACTTGATTATAATCAATGACTTCCAGCTTTCTAAAACAAAAGGTCTCCTTTCACTCTGAAAATACACCAGACTATAATCATACTTATATTCTGTACCACTATACATAAAACTCAACCAGAACGAATCTATTTCGAGTGATTGACAAAACACCTCCACTGTGGTTACACTAACTATACAATTACCATGTGAATTTCCACACTGAGCACAAACTAGGAGGAAGGGTCCAGGAACTGACATCTTACCAAGCATCCATCCTGATTCAGATGCTCTTTGGAATCCATATTAAGCTTCCTTTTCCTGTTGGGCTGTTTCATTGCCACTTTAGCACTCCTTAGCAGTGTTTTTCTGCAAAATAGTGCCATATAAAAAGTTCAGAGGTTTTTGTTCTTTTAAAAGTACATAAACAAACCAAAAAAAACCATGCGTTCAATTATACTTCTTATAATTGATTGCCATAAATACCCCAATAAATGAGTTGACATAAAAATTTCACTGTTGATTGTGTAGCCCCTAGTGTAATATTAAATTAATGGGGAAAAGAAATTAGTTTTCTTCCCCATCTAGAATTTATATCACAAAGAAAATAGGTATTATTTCTTTTGGTCTTACCTATCGTGGAATTTTTGCTTTTTTTCTTAGTTGATCTAACCAATTAGGATTCTCTGCAATACGTCTGTACAGACACTGTACTCACATGGTCTGGTTGCCCTCAAGTGTCAAAGCAAAGGTAACCTTGGTAAGAAGTCTTAGTCATACAAGGCATAGCCCAGCAATCTGAAGAGAAAAAATAAAATTTTTTTACCAATCCAATTTATCATGACCAGTTTGCAGTACATTAATAAACAGTAGTAGACAGTCTTTGAAAAATTACTTGGAAATTATTTTCTGGAAGAAAATTATTTGAAAAATTATTCTGGTAGAGGAGACTAACCATTTGGAGAACCAGCCACTAGTACTATACAAGTATCATTCGAATTATAATTCAAAAAGTCATTCACTTTGAATAATTTTAACTACAACTGACATGTAATTATTAAAAAGTTTAATAGACCTAAATCATTAATAGTCCTAAATATTTTAGAATCATATACCCAACTACTTCCTTGATATTTCCACCTGAAGAAATGACCCTAAATACTACAAACAATATATTCAAAACTGAGCTCATCATTTCCCCCTCACTGCCTCCCAATTCTACTCTTCCTGGTTGCACTAATGACGTTATTGGCCACTCATATGCCCACATCTGCCCCTTACAGTTGTTCATACTGTGCACTACACAAGAGCATCAAGCTAAGGGGCAAATGGAAACTGAAATCCATCCTGGGCTCTGCACACATGTCATTTCCCTTGCTAGAGGATTATTATATCTGCCAGGAAGAAAATGCATCTTTTTCTAATTCAAACAAAGTCACTTTGGGGGCCAGTGGAGGCCTCACTTTGCCTGAACCAGAGACCCAGGAGTTAACATCATTTCACCCCTTTACATCACACTCTACACTCTGTCACCAGGTTCCGCTGATTTTTCATCTACTAAACATTGTTTGAATTCATCTTCTCCCTCTATTTCATCAACGCCCTGGTCACCTCCAATCATGCTCCAGTCAAGTCAATCCAAGAGTCTTGCAGAAACTTTGGAAAACCTACATGCTTGCTGCTCCTCAGACCCACACTTTTGCTGGTCCCTCAACTTTGCAATACTTTCCCTACTACTCACCCAGCCCTTTTTCAACCTCTCTCTTCTTACTCATCCTCTATGACTCAACTAAGAGACTTCATATCCTTGAGAAAAGCTTTCCTTATTTACCTTCTGCTCCCAATGGACCAAGTATATCTTACTTAAAATTCATTATCTATACTCATCTTTGTCACAGCATTAAACACTTTATACTGTATTTTTATTTTGTAGATATATATCTCCCCTTATGACAAAAATTGTGAACTACTGAGCCTTATTCTTCATTGTCTAGATCAGCCATTATCAACCAGTGTGCTGTGGCCACAAGAATTTTTAAAACAGGCAATACCTGACTGTTTATAGTCAGGGGTACTGATGACCTCTTTTCCCTTAGGCTGTCAAATAAAAAACTAACAACATCCAAAACAACAATAGCCATCTGGTGGGAATGAATCAATATTATACCTATTTTTTGTCAGATCAGCAAAAAATATATTTTTGGTATGCCACAAAATTTTAGTAATTAGTTTATGTGTGCCATGGGAGGAAGAAGGTTGAAAACAGCTGGTCTAGATACTACTTGGCTCAGAGCAGACTCAATGTGTTTGTTCCAACTGCTTGAGCATGTCTCTGAATTACAGGAGAAGCCTCAAATACCTGAAGTACAATGAATATTAGTTTTTGATCCACACATTACTCCTTTTAGAGTGCTTTATGACTAGAGTGAGCCTGTCTCAAATTTAACTCATTTCTCTTTCTCTTTCTTTTTTTCCACTTTTTTTTAATTTATTTTTTCAAATACATTTGTCTCCGCCTTCCCCCCACTACTTTCCCTGCCCCCCACCCCCTCTCCCTCCCTCAGTCTTTCCCCACTTTGGCTTTGTCCATGAGTCCTGGCTATATGTTCCTTGACTTTCCCCTTCCCTTCCTTTTCCCCGCCCCCCCTCCCTCCTTCCCTCTTGTCTCTGTTGATTTCTTTTCCTTTCAGTGTTGCTGGTCTTATTTTCCTTGCATCTTTGTATTGTTGGTTAGGTTCCACTTATAGGTGAGATCAAATGGAACTGCCTTTTGATCCAGCGATTCCCCTGCTGGGACTATACCCTAAGAACACCAAAACACCAATACAAAAGAACCTATGCACCCCAATGTTTATAGCAGCACAATTTACAATAGCCAAGTGTTGGAAGCAACCTAAATGCCCATCAGTAGATGATTGTATCAAAAAATTATGGTACATATACACAATGGAATACTATGCAGCAGAAAGAAAAAAAGAACTACTAAACTTCGCGACAGCATGGATGGAACTGGAGAGCATTATGCTAAGTGAAATAAGCCAGGGGGCGAAAGACAAATACCATATGATCTCTTTCTCTTTCATAAAAAAAAAAAAAAAACGCTTCCTCATATCCATTTGCTTCTAGTCGCATATTTTTGTTCTTACAACAGGTACTTACCTACTAAATTCAATAACATCACAGTCATTTTGTAGCACGTAAATACAATTTATCATGCCTAACTGCCAGTAATACTCTGAATATCTATGCAAATTAACAGCTTAGATTTGATGTGTTTAGCAACATATGACTGCACAAGACATAAGCACTGCCAAGGCTGGCTTGCATTTCACAATTAGTGTTACCCCAGGGCTTGTCGAAGTTCGATGTAAAAGAGTTAAAAAAATTTTGCAATCTAAAGTGTAGCCAATAAGATAAACAAATGTGACAAACTTTTAGCCAGACATACAAAAAAGAAGATAAAATTTAAATTACTAAAATCAGAATGAGAGGTTACATAAGTAATGATCTTACATAAATCAAAAGTATTCTAAGGAAAAAATATGTTGAACTTCCTCATCTATTTAAATCATCTAGAGCTAATAGTAAATTCAACTCACAGTCAGTTCTGGCCTTTTCTTTCAACGTCACTAACAAATTTTTGCTTATAATGTATTATAATCTTATGAGGTCCATCAACGACCAAAATGTTGGTATATGATGCATGATTATATGTAAAAAAATCCCAAGGAATAAACTAAAAAACGATTAGAACTATAAGTGAGTTTACGAAGATTTAGAATACAAGTTTAATATATAAAAATTAATTGTATTTCTACACACAAGCAAATAAGCCAAGAATAAATTTTTAAAATTCCATTTATAATAGGGTCAAAAAATAAACATAAATTTAACAAAAGAGTACAAGACTTGTAAACTGAAAACTACAAAATGTTGTAAAAAGATATTAATGAAGAAAATAAATAGAAGATATTCCTGTTCACAGGTACAAAAACTTATTTTAAAAATGGTAATATTCCCTAAATTGATCTCAGATTCAACACAAGTGCTGTGAAAATCCCAGCTGGCTTTTTTGCAGAAATTTAAAAGTTGGTCCTAAAATTCACATGAAAATGCAAGAAACCAGAATAGGCAAAGCAATGAAAGAAAGGAAGAAGAAAAGAAGAAAGGAAGAAAGAAAAGAAAGAGAGAGAGAGAGAGAGAGGGAAGGAGGGAGGGAAGGGATTCATACTTCCTGATTTCAAAACTTCCTACAAAGATATAGTAATCAAGACAATATGTTACTGGCATAAGGATGTACACACAAACCAAATGAACAGACTGATGTTTATTCAGATGCAAAAGAATAAAGTTGAACTCCTACCTCACACCAATTTTACAATATTAATTCAAAATGGACCATAGACTTACACGTAAGAGCTAAAACTACAAAACTCTTAAAAGAAAATATAGGAGAAAACCTTTGTGCCCTTAGGATAGGTAATGATTTCTTGTATATAACCCCAATGTACTAACAACAAAAGAAAAATAGGTAAAGTGAACTAAAACAAAATTAAAACCTTCTGTGCTAGGAATGAAACTACCAAGTAAGTGAAAGGACTATTTACAGAATTGGAGGGGATATTTACAAAAGACCTATATTCAAAATAAAAAAGAACTCTTACAACTCAATAATAAAAAGACAACCCCCAAAAAATAGGCAAAGGACTTGAACAGACATTTCCCCCAACATGACATACAAATGGCCAATAAACACATGAAAAGATCTCAACATCATTAATCATTAAGAAATGGAAATTTTAAAAAAACACAAAATACCACTTCACATCCATTAGAATAGCTATAATCAAAAATACAGAGTAACAAGAATGTGGAGAAATTGGACCCCTCACACATTGCTGGCACACTATAAAATGGTTCTGCCATTTTGGAAAAGAGTTTGGCAGTTCCTCAAAATATTAAACAAAATGAACCAGGAATTCCACTCCTAGGCATACACCCAAGAGAAATGAAAACATATGTCTACAGAAAAATTTGTACACAAATATTCATAGCACATTATTTATATCCACCAAAAAGTGAAAGCAACTCAAAGTCCATCAACTGATGAATGAATAAACAAATGTGTGTGTGTATGGAAAACTACTTAGAAATAAAAAGAAATAATGCTCCAATACGTAGATGAACCTTGAAAACATTATAAGTAAAAGATGCCAATCACAGAAGACCACATATTATATAATTCCATTTACATGTTATGTCCAGATTAAGCACATCTAGAGATAGAAAGTAGATAATTGGTTCCTTAGGGCTGGAAGGAGAGCAAATGGAAGTGACT